TTTCTATGTAATGTCTACTTTATTAAGTGTCTCATCTTTATGTCTTTTTCATCTTTAGCAAACCCCTGTATAAGCTACAAACAATGAATTTCTTCCTATTTTTCATCTGTGTATTTAATTTGATGATATATGAGTGTAAATATGTGCATTTTTATTTTACTTTCTGTTTAATGCTTTGTTATTTTTTATTTTCCTTTACCCTATGTTTGGTTTAGCTTATAAGTTGATAAAAATCTAAGTCAAAGTCAACGATTAATCTTAACTACACATCTCATGGTACCCACAACTTTTATCAACTTTTCAACCATACATTTCATCTACTTTTATAAAAATCTATTAAAAATCTGATTTTTTTTAAAAAACCAAACGGGGCCTTATTCTTTCTATTTGGAAATTAGTGCAGCTTAAGGTTTTCTCTGTATTATGTTGAAGGTTTTGAGAAGCCCTCAGCTATTCAGCAAAGGGGGATTGTTCCCTTCTGCAAGGGACTTGATGTGATTCAACAGGCACAATCTGGAACTGGCAAAACTGCAACTTTTTGCTCTGGAATTCTCCAGCAGCTAGACTATGGAAATGTTGAATGCCAGGCTTTGGTTCTTGCACCAACCCGTGAGCTTGCACAGCAAATTGAGAAGGTCATGCGAGCACTAGGTGATTATCTTGGTGTAAAGGTTCATGCTTGCGTGGGAGGAACCAGCGTTCGTGAAGATCAGCGTATACTTTCCAGTGGGGTTCATGTTGTGGTTGGTACCCCTGGTCGTGTGTTTGACATGTTGCGAAGGCAGTCTCTTCGCCCTGATTACATTAAAATGTTCGTGTTGGATGAAGCAGATGAAATGCTATCAAGAGGGTTTAAGGATCAGGTCTGTTATATTTTGTTTTTTGTTTTTTGTTTGTGGTCATTTTTATGTCAGTGGTAGTTGATATGAGATTTTTTGCTGCATATTTGCAATTTGGTGTATTTCTTTCAGCTTGTTTTCATTATTTTTACACATGGTTATTGCACACTCCTGTGTTCGAAGCTCAGATGTTCACTGTTTGCTAAATATCGGCTCTTAAACTGAAAAATCTATGTATTACGTCAGTTTTGTTTGTTTATGTTATTTTCTTGTCATTGCTGTGCTCTCTGAATAATGCTAATAGCTGCAGCTTACCTGAGAAACGATTTCAGCAATGTGCTGTCAAATGCACCATCAGGTTACTAATTACAGCTTCTGTTCCTTTCAGATATATGATATCTTTCAGCTTCTGCCACCTAAGATTCAAGTTGGCGTATTCTCTGCGACAATGCCTCCAGAGGCTCTTGAAATCACACGAAAGTTTATGAACAAGCCTGTGCGAATTCTTGTGAAACGTGATGAACTGACACTCGAGGGTATCAAGCAATTCCATGTCAATGTTGAAAAGGAGGAATGGAAGCTAGAAACCCTCTGTGATCTTTATGAGACCTTGGCCATCACACAGAGTGTCATCTTTGTTAATACTAGGCGTAAGGTTGACTGGCTCACCGACAAAATGAGAAGCCGTGATCATACCGTCTCTGCCACCCACGGAGACATGGACCAAAACACCAGAGATATCATTATGCGGGAATTCAGATCTGGTTCTTCTCGTGTTCTCATCACGACTGATCTCTTGGCCCGTGGTATTGATGTCCAACAAGTCTCTCTTGTGATCAACTACGATCTTCCAACTCAGCCGGAGAACTACCTCCATCGTATTGGACGTAGTGGACGATTTGGAAGGAAGGGTGTTGCCATCAACTTTGTTACCAAAGATGATGAGCGCATGCTTTTCGACATACAGAAGTTCTATAATGTTATAATTGAGGAGCTGCCCGCTAATGTTGCTGATCTTCTCTAAAACGATTTTGATTCATCGAGGTTTTATGTCCTTTATTATCTTATTTCTTAGTTTAGTTTAAAACGTGTAATGGACTTGAGATTGGGAGATGCGCTTCCTAATTTTTGGTATTTTTTTTATATTTTTTTTTGTATTGTAATTGTCCGAAGTAACTACAAGTTTGGATGTTGGTTGACTCTTTATCAAGTCTTAAAGCTGGATTCTATTTTGGTTATCTTTGCTTTGCCAATTTTTCAGAAGGGGAAGTGTGGGTCCCTAAAGTTTTTAATGGTTGAGGTTTCAGTCTGCATTGTTGACAAATAATGCACGAATTTTAAATTTGTCAGCACAAATTTTAAATTTAAATAAAATAAGCATCCGAAACCCGTTTAATAAAAACGAAAGCTAGGCTATACTTTTCCTTGACGGCTATCGATGCACCCAAATCCTTAAAAATCCATTAAAAATATCTGCCATCGAATCGTGTCTTGTAATCCATACTAATCGTATGCTCCAAACGTTTAAAGCAAAGGAAGAAAGGGACACTTCTTACTTTTGTCTGTCGAATTCAGGAAACGTGATCGATTATGTGTCGTTGGGAAGGTGGACACCACTTATTTCTCCAAATTATCTTCTTGATTATACTGGATTTAAAATCTTTTAATAATTAAAAATATTAACCTTGAATAGCTGTAATTAGATCACTTATTGTGTAACCAGATTTCAAATCAATCAATGATAAGGAGGCAAATCGTTAATGAATGTGCAATGGTTATTCGAGAAAAGTGTATATGCCAAACTTGATGAAAGTGAAATGTGTTTAAAAATGGGCAATGTTTAACATAGGCTAATTTGATTATCGAAAATTTAAATTTTATAGGTACACTTTAAGAACTCATAGCCTGTTGTACAATCAAAATCAATACACGAAAAAGGATGACGACCGCTAACAATAAAAATACTTTACTTAATGCGATTACATAATCAAACTTGAAATTCGTATATTTATCCAACGGATATTTTCTAAGGTTCCTCTATTTCTATTCAAACATAGAGGCTTGTTTCAATCTTTCATTTTCTTGCTTTAATTTTTTCAACCTTTCATTTTCTTTCATTGAGATTGATGCTAGCAAAATGTTATTAACATTTCGACTTAAGAATTTTCTTGCTTTGACATAATTGTCTAAATTTGAAAAGTAGCTTTAAAAAACAAATGCTCCATTGAAGCTATTGATGTGAATAATTACTTCACCAAAATGTTGCTGCTTCGTGAATCTTGTATGGCATGCTACATATTGACTTAGTGGAAGCTTATACGATATAATAGAATCTCACAAACACTCAAACTTGTAGATTAGAACTATCAAATACCAAGAGAAGATAGAATAATTTGGAGAAACTTCTAACGACTCTTCATTTAATTCAATTTCAACTAATTGTCACAAGGTTTACAATTCATATTTAAAGTAATAAATGAAATATGAATAATAACTAAACTTCTAGATAACGATTAACTCTAGATAATGATAAGAATTAAAGACAGAGTAATTCTAAATTGAATTAAAATAAAAAATAACAAAAATAACAAAAAATTCTCCTCCGAGAATTATTTCTTTCAACCTCGATCCAACTTTTCCATGAACTTTTCTCTTCTTTTCTGAAAACAATTACTTTACCAAAAATTTTAAAGTTTTGTTTCTTTTAAATTAATAAAAAATAAAACTTATTAATAAAACAATAAGGATCGTGTAACTCGACACGATCCAGCATGCCCAAAGATATAGACGGCTTTTGTCTATTAGTATTCAATAACATATGCTCGATCTCTAAAACATCATTGTGTCCTTTGACACCTTTAACTTTAGGCGAAATATATCAACAACACAAATTTTTTATAATCTACATTTTAACTGTACGAAAGGTTTATAATTAACCTTTATGTATTATCATATTCATGTCTTAAACATTTTTAATTAGATTCTTATTCTCAAATTAACATAAATTGTTCCTAATTATATTTTATTTTCAAAAATTACTTAAAAAAAAAAAAAACTCATTTGTACATTGTATTGTCAAATAAGCAAAACATATAATAGTAATGTAAAAAATGCAAATATTTGAAGGTCATTTTAAAGTATGTTAAAAATATTTTTTGATAAAAATCATGAATAAGGACTATATTTTTCTGATAAATGAAGTGTTAAAATAAGAATGTGATGATAAAAATGTTAAAAAATAAAATTGTGATGATGAATAAAGGTCAATAATCTTTAATGTAATTAAAATGTGATATATTTACAAAAATGTTGTGTGTATATAACCAAACTTAATTTTTTAATGACTTAAATGAGTGGTAAAGAAGTAAATGGTATTTATAAATTCTAGGGAAAATCGCCCTACGGTTTCAAACATTTCATTGAATTGCATCTTTTATTCTAACATTTTATTTGTAGCATTCACGGTTTCAAAAATTTCAATTTGTTGTAGTCGGAGGACAAATGGATGGTTTCCATGTTAGTGAAAGGTTTGGGACTATAGTTGTCAATTTTCCTAATTTCTATAAATCTACAGTATGATTTAACTAAAATAAGATTTTTAATAAGTTTTGATTAAAAAAAGAATGAAAGATGAAATGTATTGTTAATAGCTACAAGTTCCATAAAATATGTTACCAAAATTAACTGTTTACTTTAAACTACACCAAATGGGATTTGACCACAATGGACCAAATAGGCTAGTTTTCTTGCATCTTCAGCCCCCTGTTTTATTTAGTTAAAAATCAAATTTATTTTTTTTAGATTTTGACAAAAGTCGAAGAAATTTGTGAAGAAAAAGTTGTGAATTTAATATAATAAGAATTGTTGAACTACACTAAGAGCCTGTTTGGGAGTGATTTTGAGAATTGATTTTTTGATCGTTAAGAGAAAAATGGGGTCCACCTGTGAGAGAAGAAGTCAAATATGATGGCTGAAATAGTAAAATAACGATCAAAAAATTAAATTTTTGAATAAAAAATCACTCCCAAATAAGCTGTAAATGAGAACATAAATAGTCTAAATAAATAAATAAAATTGAAATTGAAAAATACAGTCCAAATTGTGCTGTCACTGTTTGTTTGACTGGTCTACTGATCTTAACCTTGAATTTCGCGAGGCAAGTTGATTTCCCATTTTAAACGGCATCTGAATCAATCCCACTCCCACCAACAAAGAGGAATTTCAAAATCAGAATTAAATCCCCATTGAATTTTCGATTTGCCTGACAGTTTGTTTTGGCTCGACTTCTGCACAAACTCGATACCAAAAAATTCGAAGTCAAGCCTCAAGCTTTCTCCACCCCATCAAGAAAAATTCCAAGAAATCCATGGAGGATTACAGATCAAAATCTTACAATGATGACAGAATGCAGATAGAGCCTTATTATGGACGCCCCTCTGCCAGGCCTACTGATTTCAGGTCATACAGTACTTCATATGCTTCTTCTTCATACTATTATGCTGCACCGCCGTCTCCTCTGGGGCAAATTATGCCACCGTCTGCTCTAGGTCCGCCACCTCCCAAGGACTGGAAGCTCAAGAAAGGCAAAAGCACAAGTGGGTCAACTTCAAAATCTTGGACTTTCAATGATCCTGAGTTCCAGAGGAAGAAGAGAGTGGCTAGCTACAAAGTCTACACCGTTGAAGGCAAAGTCAAGGGATCTTTGAGGAAGAGTTTCAGGTGGCTTAAGGATAGGTACTCCCAGGTGGTCAATGGCTGTTGGTGATTTTACAATTCATGTTATATAATTTCCTTTTATGCTGTGTTCTTATATTTGTGCCGGAATATGAAACAAGATTTCGTTTTATGGGCTTTTAACACAAAATTTGTAAGATAGGATTTTGTTGATTTGAGCGATTTTTGTCTATGTATGATTAATCACACGATAGCCTTTTTCTTATCATATATGGATCATTGTTAAGGATTGAATCCCACGAAGTATATAAATGAAAGTGATAACCATTCTATGATGGCTTGAGCTACTCGTCTTAACAAGATCTTTTAAGATGGAAACCAAGACTTAATAATGATGATACCAAGAACTTCTTGATGGGGATCTAGATTGCATCATTCTTGAGATTCTGTTCCTAAAGCATTGTTTTTTTGATAAATTTTATTTGATGTGATCTGGAGAATTGAGAAATTTGCATATATGAGTGTATATCAGGAAGGATAAGATGTAGTGTCTAGTATTGTGAAAGAAACATGCTTGACTAATAAATTTTGATGTTTCTTTTTGGAGTATAGTTTTGGTTTATATTCTGAAAATTGCTTGATCCAAAATTCCTAAGCTGGATATTTGTTTGTGCAAGTAAATGAGTTTGGTTAAACTAGTTTCTTTTGTGAACTTTCCTTTTAGTATTGTGGGAGTAAGGGTTTGAAATATAAGTTCTTGGCTTAAAGTTCTATATTCTATAACGAAAGGAAATATGGAAAAGATCTTAACAAGTCTTAGGGTCTGTGACGATAGATCTGGAATTTCTGGGGCTCTCACTTTCCTTCTTAATTCTTGCTCAAAAGAAATGCAAAAATAGAACTGGCCTTCCCATGTAGGTCGCCATGGCATGAACTTTGTCTATAGATTCCGTTCTTTCCATTGATCAATCGTGTTTTCAACTTTAGTTGCTTTTGACAGCAAACCAACCAATTGTGTACCTGGCACTTGATTGAACCCCAAATCTGTCTTTGAACACTTTGGTAAGCATGCTTGAAAGTCTCTTTTCTGTCTTGCCTTTGAATATGTCTTACAGGTGTAGTCCCCATGGAGCAAAGAGAATGCAATGAATGTTGTATGACCAAACTCATAAGCGTGATTTTGGTAAAAGTTTAAATCATTATAATTTGAGATCTCACATAGCCCCCACTCTGAAGTGATATTTTCTATAGGTTTCTGTTTTTGGATGATTATAGATCAATAGAGTGTTTATTTCCGTATTCTGCTTTGCCAGCCAATGAGTTTTTGAAGTAGAAAAACCTTTTAGCCCTCTCACCATGCTTTACAAATAAGCAATTACTGATATAAAAGGGGCGTTCAGTATCTGTAAAATGAACTAGGTTTGTACCACGATAATGTTGTGCAGTACTTGTAGCTTGTTAAGGAATTGCAGAGCTTATTTTTGTTGCATTCCTACATGGCTTTTGATATAGACCACAGTAGAAATAGTTAGCATTCAGAAATTAGTTACTAGTTCCATTATATGATGCCTAAATTGCAGTGCTTTTATAATTTTCTCTTCATCTGTGCCCTGCAGCATTTGAAATGTCGATTCAAGCTTTCAATATAATGTCTTGATCAAATTTATCATGCAACCTTTTCCTTGTATGAGTTGCTTCATGTCATCTTGATAGAATTCTGAAGTGCTCATCCTCATCTAGTTCAAATAATTTGATTTCGGCATCTAGAAGATTACTAAATTTGAAATGCTGCCAATTTTTGGCAAGGACTTGCAAGTGTGTCAATATGGTATTAATGCATGCAATGGTCATGGGATTAAGTCTAGTTGCTACCCATTAATGAAAATGGAGGAGGCGTCAAGAAATGAGACTGACCAGCATGCAAGAAGCGTGTTTGAAGCTTTTAGAAAGGTGGTTCAATAGTAATTCGTGTGGGTATATGTGTTTGATTTACTGAAAGGGAAGTTTATGTTTTGGTTTTAGTCTAATGGAACTTTTGGTTACAAGGAAGGTCATATCACATATGGGCCTTTGCATGTTTCTTAAATTTGTTCTTTCTTAGAAAACTCTTTAGGCACTTGGAAACAAGATTTCAGGGATTAGTTCTGCTGATTTCTAAGAATAAATTGGTGAGGCTATAAGATATTGGAACTTATGTTAGAAAATCGAACTAGACATAAGAGTATTATTCGAATGAAATTGATCAAATGATTGTGATATTGAGTCTCAAATTCGATTGTTTTGACTTATAAAATTTACACAGTTGGGTTTTACAATGTGCTGAAATTATCCTTTTGTCATGTCGATGTTGAGTTTTCATTGTTTCTCTTCTTCCTTCTCTCTAATCCTGTTGTTGGTAGGTGAAAGGTTGTTTAGAATAAAGGGAAGAATAAGACTACTTGCACATCGAAATGTGTACATTTTTGATTAAATCTTTCTCTGTGGATGGAAAAAGTGTTTTTAAAATCAATATACCCAAATTTGCCAATTCAGGAGTGTAAACTAAGGTATTCATATAGCATGGCTCTAAAGGGGAAAGCCAACTAAGATTTGCTGCTACAAGGAATGGCTAGTGATCAGTTGATGTAGATGTGTCTTCAGTGCATGTTTTATGCAATATATATATATATATATATATTTTTGATATCCAGGTATCTCAGCTTACATCAGACTAAATCCTGAACCTCCAAGATCCATGTCCCTAGAACTTTGGAGGGGGTAAATCGCTGGTTATGCCTCAACTGGATTACAGGTTCCCCCCATTGACTGTACACTTCTGCGCACAAGAGACCCTCCTTTACAGTGATTGCTCCATACCAAATTTTTGGCCGCAGGTTCCCACCGGAATCGAAGTCTCCACCCCGTCACTGGAAGCAAACTAATGTTGATTGATCCACCAATTGATTGATTCATCAGTTTTATGCAATATTTGACACAACTATAAGATGTATTAGAGGCTATGCTACGTTTTGAATCCATCAACTTGGCTTCTATATTTTATTATTTATTTTTTTGACAAGTTGCAACTAGCTTAAAAGGGATTATTGAGCACGAATTGTCAGACATGTCATGTGTATTTTGGAGAATGTGTGGTGAAAAAGTAGAAAAAAAGTTTGGTTATTTTTAACAATACATTTCTAGAATAAAACATTTCTAAAATGTAAAAAGTTACTTGTAAGTGAAAAATTGGAGGGAAAGGAATTTTAAATTGAAAAAGTATATATTTATAATGTAAACAACACAAATATTTCAAAGAATGAAAAAAAAAAATCTCTCCGTGTACGGAGACTTCAAGTCCCCATGCATGGAGATTTTTTTTTTTTTTATTTACATTATAGATAATTTTTTTGTTCAATTTAAAATTCTTTTTAATTCTTTTCTTTTCATAATAAAACATAATTTTTCAATTTTAACTAAATAATATTTATATATTCTTTATTTAATTTTCGTAACTTTCTTTTGTTTTATTTTTATTATATTTTTTTGAAAATTGTTTTAAAATTTCTTTTTTCTTCGTATTATAATTTTTTTTAAATTTTTTTCGTTTAAAACGGAATTTTTTCAATTTGAATTAAATAATTTTATTTTTATTTTTAATTATTTCAACTTAATTTAAAAAGCTTTATAATAATTTTTTTTCTTTTTAATTTTGCCTATAATTTTGTTGCTGTTTAATTTGTTAAATCATTTAGTTTCTTTTCTTTATCAATTAGATTGGATGATGTGAAGTAGTATGTGAAAATAGATAAATACTGTAGTGGAGGTGATCGTGCATGGAATCTCTCTTACAACTATAAATATCTCAAATTCCTCATTGACCCATTGGTCACCATATCTCTCCGCCACTAATTTTAATGAATATATATATATATATATATA